TGATGAGGAGGTAGAGATAGGCAATAAATAGGCAAGAGAGAGCTGAGGAGGAAAGTAAGGTGTAGGGGATAGTAGTACTAATGAGAACTGCAGAGGGCCTATTGGCCCATACGAGGCAGCTCCTATTATAACCACCAAAGGAGATAGTAATAGGAATAGGAAGAGGATAGCAAGGGAGCGTAGGAGAAGACAATGAACAGAAAAAGGGGAGAAGAGAGAAAGAAATGGAAAGAGAAAGAAAGATAAATGGAAAGGGTAAGCTTGTGTTAAGTCACGTTTGTTAGAAAGATTAGAGCATTTGAGTATATACTGTGAAAGGGAAGAGTCCACAGCAACAAAGCCAGGACTCAAGTTCATGTTGGGTACATTGTGTATAAGAGCCGATTCTACAAGACGGCGCCTGTGTAGAGTAGAGGCAGGAAAGATTATTTTGGAGGAAGACCAATCAATGGGATGATTAGAATCCCTCACATGGCAGAAGAGAGCATTTTTAGTGTCTGCAGACTTAACACTTCTCTTGTGTTCTTTAAGTCTGTCATTCAGTGTACGGCCAGTTTCGCCAAAGTATTGGAGAGGACAAGGTGAACAGGAAATAGAGTAGACGCCAGCAGCATTAGAAGCAGGAGGAGCAGTGTGAACTAGATTGCTACGAAGTGTGTTAGTTTGTCGAAAGGCGAGTTTAATGTCAAGAGGACGAAAGGTATTGGTAAAAGTTTTGAGTTCAGATATGAAGGGAAGGCATACTACAGTGCTACTAGTGTTGGAAGCAGGTTTAGGATGAAAGAAATTTCGTTTAGCTTGAGAGTAGGCACAGTTGATGAAATGCAAAGGATAACCAAGGCGAGAGAAGGATTTGTAGATAAAGGCAATTTCAGAATCAAGAAACTGAGGGTCGCTGATGCATAGAGCGCGGAGGAACAGAGAGACGAGGATACTTTTCTTAACAGAAGGAGGATGGTAGGAAAAGAAGTGAATGTACATGCCACTATGCATGGGTTTACGGTAGACAGAGAAAGAGAACCCAGACACAGAGCTGTGAACATGAACATCAAGAAAAGGAAGGAGGGAATTAGATTCCCACTCAACTTTGAAATGGATAGAAGGAGCCAGATTGTTAAGAGAGGCGAGGAAAGGCTGGAAAAGATTAAGGTCATGAGGCCATAAAGCAAAAATGTCATCAACAATTTCTTTCATCCTAAACCTGCTTCCAACACTAGTAGAACTGTACTATGCCTTCCCTTCATATCTGAACTCAAAACTGGTGGCATCACCACCAGCCATTGCGTCATCATCAGCCTTTGCGTCACCACCAGCTATTGCGCCACCACCAGCAATGAAATCATCCCTAGCTATTGTGTCATCACCATTCATGGCGTCACCACCAGCCATTGCGTCACCACCAGCCATAGAGTCAACACCAGCCAAGGAGCCATCACAAGCCGTGGTGTCACCACCAGCCATGGCATCACCACCAGCCATGGAGTTATCACCAGCCCTGGTGTCATCACTTTCCATGGCGTCATCACCATTAATGGCGTCTCCACCAGCCATTGCGTCACCACCAGCCATGGCGTCATCACCAGCCATGGCGTCACCACCAGCAATGGCGTCTCCACCAGCCATTGCGTCACCACCAGCCATGGCATCACCACCAGCCATGGAGTCATCACCAGACATGGTGTCATCACCAGCCATGGTGTCATCACTTTCCATGACGTCATCACCATTAATGGCGTCTCCACCAGCCATTGCGTCACCTCCAGCCATGGCGTCACCACCAGCCATGGCGTCACCACCAGCAATGGCATGACCACCTGCGGAAAATATTAGCAAGCTTTAATTGTTTTTATTCTGTGAATATTAAAATATTTACTTTATTTTTATTTTTTAATTGACTTTAATATTATATTTTTTTATTTGATTATTTTTCTTCTGATTTAGTTCTTAGTTCTTAGTTAGTTAGTAGTGGACTCTATATATTCTAATTCAGCCTGCAAAAATATTTCACACACAGTTGTGGGGACAATTTGTAGCTTAAACCAATTAGAGGTGGATCCTTCCTAAATCACATATTGTTTACCTAGTCTTTGATATATAAATTTAAAATCATACCATATGGTGGTCTAATCTACTGTAATTATAATTAATCTATCTACAGTATAAAATAAAAGGGGGCCTTAGATGATACTGTTGGTGGAGAATGCAAAGGCTGTGTAATTGTAGCATCAGAATTAGGTGTGGCCCTATGCCTCAGAGTGCCACGTAATGGCGGCTGTCTGGAGGCCTACAAGGCTTGATGTACAGTTAGTGGCTGCAATCACAGTTATATTGGTCTTCTCAGATACTTGTAACTCCAACACACAATTACCTGCCGAGTGTAAGGAATTAATTATAGTTCCCTAAACATATAAGTACAGGTATGACATGGAAATGGTATGACAGACCGGAGTAGCTGAGGGGGCGTGAGCCAACCGCCACCCGCTCTGTCCCCATAGCAACGCAGGCGGCCAACTTGGAGGCCTCCTTGAGGGCCAAGGAAGCTAGGCTGTGATTGGCCAAGGAGGTAGACCTCTATATGCCTTTCTTTGATTGATTCGTTTGAGGAGGACTAGGAAGCCGGTCCTCGTCAAGGGGGCCGGGAAGCCGGTCCTCGTCAAGGGGGCCGGGAAGCCGGTCCTCGTCAAGGGGGCCGGGAAGCCGGTCCTCGTCAAGGGGGCCAGGAAGCCGGTCCTCGTCAAGGGGGCCGGGAAGCCGGTCCTCGTCAAGGGGGCCGGGAAGCCGGTCCTCGTCAAGGGGGCCGGGAAGCCGGTCCTCCTCAAAGGGGCCCGGAAGCCGGTCCTCCTCAAAGGGGCCCGGAAGCCGGTCCTCCTCAAAGGGGCCGGGAAGCCGGTCCTCCACAAGGGGGCCAGGAAGCCGGTCCTCGTCAAGGGGGCCAGGAAGCCGGTCCTCGTCAAGGGGGCCAGGAAGCCGGTCCTCGTCAAGGGGGCCGGGAAGCCGGTCCTCGTCAAGGGGGCCGGGAAGCCGGTCCTCCTCAAGGGGGCCGGGAAGCCGGTCCTCCTCAAGGGGGCCGGGAAGCCGGTCCTCCTCAAAGGGGCCGGGAAGCCAGTCCTCCACAAGGGGGCCAGGAAGCCAGGAAGGGTGGACCGGGAAGCTGACACCATGCCTGAACCTAGCTGTATTGTAGGCATTCTGCATCCAGCCATCGCCTGTGTTAGACATAATCTTTGCTCAGTCGGCCAGCTGAGTAAAGGCAAAGTGGCGGTAGCTACTAATACATCTCCATGAGCCACCAACGATGACGTTAATCCGTGGGAACAGGCAGAATCCGGGAACTCTTCGTATTTGCCTGTGTTAGCCACCTACAAGCAGTGCGCCAGTGTATGGTAGGACGTGTGTGGGCGTGAGTGCCGGCTGTACAAACGAGTAAGTACCACCTGTGTGTATTTAGTGATTCGAGGCTGGTGGTGATGCCATGGCAAGTGACGCAACCATAGTTGGTAATGACACCATGGCTTGTGATAACGTCATAGCTGGTGGTGACACCATTGTTGGTAGTGACGCCATGGCTGGTGGTGACTCGATAGCTAATGGTGATGCCTTGCCTGGTGATGACGTCATTGCTGGTGATGACTCCATGTCTGGTGGTGACGCCATGGCTGGTGGTGGTGACGCCATGGCTGGTGGTGATGACCCCATGGCTGGGGATAACGCCATGGCTGATGATGACGCCATGGATGGTGGTGATGCTGTAGCTGGTGATGACGATGCTATGGCTGGTGGTGACGCCATGGCTGGTGATGATGCCATGGCTGGTGGTGACACCATGACTGGTGATGACACCATAACTAGTGGCGACACCATAGCTAATGGTGATGCCATGGCTGATGGTGATGATACCACGCTGGAGGTGACACCATAGCTGGTGTTGACACCATGGCTGGTGGTGACACCATGACTGGTAATGATGCCATGGCTAGTGGTAACGCAATGGGTGGTGGTGACGCCATGGATGGTGGTGATGCCATGGCTGGTGGTGACGATTCCATGGCTGGTGGTGACGATGGCATTGCTGGTGGTGACGATGGCATGGCCGGTAGTGACGATACCTAGGATGGTGTTGACGATGCCTTGGCTGGTGGTAACGACATGGCTAATGTTGACGATGTCATGGCTTGTCGTGGTAACGACATGGCTGGTGGTGATTCCATGGCTGGTTGTGACGCAATAGTTGGTTGTGACGCCATGGCTGGTGATGATGTCATGACTGGAGGTGACCCCATGGCTGGTGGTGATGCCATGGCTGGTGTTGACGCCATGGCTGGTGGTGACGCCATAGCTGGTCGTGATGCAATGGCTGGTGGTGATGCCATGACGCACATAATAACATAAGTTACCCATTAAAGAAAATGAGAACAGGTATTCTGTGACGTCATACAAGAAGTATATTATATATCTCAGCTCTTTTTAAACCTCAGTCTAGTATTTAAACTTAATAAAAAAAGTGTTCACTAGGACTGAAAATAATTTCCAACACCAGGAATATAGCTTAACACTCTATTCCTTAATCATAAATAGAACCACCAAATATTTTAGGACGTCTCCCCCTAGGGCGTCGTCACGTACATGCAACAACTTGTAAACATAGTGAGGAAGCACTCCCTGACAAATTTTACAACACATAAATTTTCTTTCTCTGAGCTTCAACACAGGATCCTCTACGATTCGCCCAACCGAAGATCTCATGAACAAAGGGATGAACAATTTTTGGTATTTCTATTGCATTTAATACTGGCCATTATTATTGCAGGAAATCTCGTTAAGACGTAGGATTAAATCCCCAAACAAAGTGAATTTACTCAGCATTACACACACATATTCCATGTCATACCTGTACTTATATGTTTAGGGAACTATTATTAATTCCTTACACTCGGCAGGTAATTGTGAGTTGGAGTTACAAGAAACTGAGCAGACCAATATAACTGTGATTGCAGCCACTAGCTGTACATCAAGCCTTGTAGGCCTCCAGACAGCCGCCATTGCGTGGCACTCTGAGGCACAGGGCCACACCCAATTCTGATGCTACAATTACACAGCCTTAGCAGGCCCCACCAACAGTATCAGCTAAGGCCACCTTTTATTTTATAGTGTTAATAGAGTAACTATAAGTATAATTACAGTAGATTAGACCACCATATTTGGTATGATTTATAATTTATATATCAAGGACTAGGTAAACAATTTGTAGTTTATGAAGGATCCACCTCCAAGTGGTTTAAGCTACAAATTGTCCCCCCAACTGTGTGTGAAATATTTTTGCAGGCTGAATCAGAATATATACAGTCCACTACTATCTAACTAAGAACTAAGAACTAACTCAGAAGAAAAATAATCAAATAAAAATAATATAATATTAAAGTCAATTAAAAAAATAAAAATAAAGTAAATATTTGAATATTCACAGAATAAAAACAATTAAAGCTTGCTAGGATTTTCCCACAAAATTTTGGTCCTTTGAACCTAGATACAAGATCCTGATTAGGATCTATATAAACATTAGTGCAATATTTACACATATATACATATACATTAAATATTGCAGGAAGACACTGCTATACAATTTTCTTGCCTAACTTTTTCAATCTCTGCTAACAAGTGAACAGAACTTACAACAAGCACTATTATTGTTCTGAGGTCTGAACCAAAATAACAATTGTGCTTTTTCATTACACGAGGTTGATAAGAGGCTAATTAATTTACTCATATATGTATATATAATTTTAAGTGTTTACATAAACATTACATAATATTTAATATTACACCACTACTGTAACAATTGCTGCATGTCACATTATTTACAAACAATTCTTACACAAGAGTAGGACATTTTAGGCTGGTGTTGTACAGCAACTTAGTCTAATTTATTGTGCTAACCTGGTGTAAGGGTAAGAATTTACACATGTCTAGAGTTGAACCTATTTTTCAACCTAGCAAGCAAATATTTTTATTCAGTTTCTTAAGACAACCCGAGTTGTGTTGTCTACATAATATTACCATAACTATAATAATAATTTAACTATAATCGTTTCACCTTTGAGTGTTAATCTGTGTCTCTGTACCAACTAAGAGTGATAATTGAGGAGCTAACTTAAGGTAAATCCAGCATTGATACAAGGTTACCACTCAAATTATAGTGTGTATGATTATATAATGTGTATTTTAAATGATAAAGAGCTCTAGTTTGGAAACTAGTAGCTCAACTAGCTCAAGTGCTAGAAACAGTCCAAATCAACGTCCAAGAAGGCTTAGCACTAGTACATCTGCAGCACGGCTAGCAAATACAGCCATCATGTCTACTGCCAAAAATGTAAAAGCGACCCTCACTGGTATGAAGGGCCACTTAACCCGACAGATCAAAAAATGCGATGATTTATGTAATCGAACTCCAGTTGATTATGTAGAACTGGAAGGCCATCATAAGGTTGCACAGAGCTAATATCAGCATGTACAAATGCAAAACCAGAAATATCAGGATGTACTTGCTGCTACTAACATAGATCAAGATGCAAGGGAAGCTGTAGTACAAGAAAATACAGATTATGAAGATGAAATACAAACAAAGTTACAACACTTTGTAAAGTTAATAACCATACATAAGGCCACTACAAACATTGCAGCCACATCTTCCCAAAACCCGACACAACCAGAAGTCAAATTACCATCACTTAGTCTCCCAACTTTCTCTGGGACTGAGGACGAGAGTTGGGATAACTTCTGGAACAAATTTGTTACATTCAGTGGATTCTAATGCCACTATAGCAAAGACCACAAAATTTACATATTTACAAGTTGTCTTAAAGGATGAAGCGTTAAAAGTGGTCTGTAATTTGACCTTCACTGATGATGGTTATGATAGCGCAGTACAGCTCCTTATATATAGGATAATTATGCTAAGCCAGAAATGACTATCAGACTTCTAACCCAGAAACTGTTAGATATTTCCCCTCCAGATGGATCAGCTGATTCACTCCAAGTCTTTAGAGTGGAGCTTGAGTCCTTGCTCAAGGCGCTTAAGAATAAAGTGAATCTGGATGAATCGGACTGGATAATCCAAGTCCATATGAGATGCAAATTACCCAGTGATGTACTGGATAAGTTGTTTGTCTTATATAACAAATCTTCTCTAACAGTAAAGGAGATAACAGAAGGTTTGCGTTCCATCATAGAAAGACAACGAGATAATACAGATGGAAAATGACATCTAAGCCTTCTTTGACCACTAATAGTAAACAACAGAGTACAAACAGTACTCCAAATAAATCTAAAACAACTTCCCCCTCCCCAAAGTGGAAACAAGGGCAGTGTGGGCACATATGCAGTGGGTCCCTCTAAACCTACAGTTAATGTGTCACCCAAAACGGTGACTCCCCAAGATGCTATTAATGTCTGGATGCCATGTGTGTTCTGTGAAGAACAACATACCATGTACACCTGCAAAGCTTACCCTGATCGTTCTACCCGTATAAAATGACTCAAGGAGTTACGTAAATGCACCAGGTGTATAAGGTCACATAATTCTGACACCTGTGCAACTCAAATGCGCTCCTGCAATAGATGCCATCAGGGTCAACACCATACAGCACTTTGTTGAGACTCAAGTACATAGTCTCCCAAACCACAGGTGGAGGAAGGAACTTCTGCTTCAGTTCAGCTTTGTACCATACTACCTGACATAAGTGTTTTGTCAACAAGGTCTGATCATAAATCAGCTCTACCCACTGCTCAATTGATCATTAAAATGGAAAGTTCAAGGTCACCATACGCGGATTATTTGACCAAGGATCCCAAATGACTTTTATCTCAAAGGAGTTGGTAGATGCCCTGAAACTCAAACCTGTTCAAGAGACACGAATAGACATAGCTGGATTCCTGACTAACTCAGGAGCCCAAGTCTTCAAGGTAGTACAACCTAAAGTACGTTTAGGCGGTTATGTCCGAACGATACAACCTCTTGTAGTAGATTGATTCCCATCAGACCTGTATGTGTATGGTCTAGGGACAACAGCCAAATTCCTGGAAGAAAAGGGAATCAAATTGGCTGACAAAATCACGTTAGACAACCTCTCCAATACTGGAATCCTTATGGGATCAGATGTCTACCATAAGTTTATCAAAGGAAAGGATGAAAAACAGGGAATGAACCTGTTACCATCTGCAGG